TCTTACTTGATTTCTCGTCCGAACCTGAAGGCCCTAAATACACGAAGAAGAGTAACCGCCTTCCGAGAAAAACCGATGGATGCAAACGCGCGATTTCATCTTGCCGACCATGACTTCTAGGCTGGCTCTCACCGCGGCGTTGGCTCAAGAAATAGATCCCGGTTCATACATCTACTGCGGTTCTAGACTTTTTATGAAACTGGCAGGATTGACGTTAGTGATTGTTCGACCGACATGGTAGACGATATTAACGATTACGTTAGAATAATACATTGCAATGTAATAGTTGGCATTTGGCCTAAATGTTTCCCTACGGTCATTCGAAGCAACATTGTAAGTATTATAAAGAGCCAAAACTAATGTGAAAACTGTCAGATTAAAGAACTTTTGTAACAATTAGCTAACCCTCCACATTACGACTATGCTGGTTAGCTAGACTGCTGAACTGATGATGATAGCGTACGCCTTATGTTTTATGCTTCATGTCAGAAGCGCGTCGGCCATAGCGCCTGATCTGACCCAAGCTTAGTCTAAGGCTCGAGAATGAGACATATGACAAATCAGCGGAATGTCGCGTCATTTTTAATAAGACCTTGATTTGCGGTATGACACCCTCAGTACTGGCTCAATCACTCTTTCTGTTCTTCTTGAACGTTTTAATATCGCACCCGATGCTGGTAAGAGTTTTCGAGTAAAATAATCTTTAGGAGCCCAGTCAGCGTTTGGCCTTGTCAGAATCGTATTCTGAATAGAACTGGAAGATCGGTCGTCGGGTTTACAGACAGATTGATATGTCGATTAGCTCTTAACGACGTATCAAGCGGAAAGCGTCAGTTGACGTTCGGTTAGCAAAAGTCACAAGGAAATCGTTGGTGTCTAGACCTCGAACTTGGCGCAAAATTGCCACGCTGTGTTTGCACAGCGCACTGTTTGGACATCGACTTGTCTCTGACCAAATTACCGGAAAAGGTTTTTAGATATAAAGCTACTTAGACTTATGTTGGTATACTGTTATTAGAAGCGCTTATGCGCAGAAGCAATACCGAACAGCGATGTTCTGATCTGATTTGAAGAAAAACAATCTGATCAAGTAAACTTCAGAAGCAACAATATTCGCAGGATATTATTCAAATGGTAGCCGCATCTATGAAGCGCTGACGCAAACGATGCAGACCGTTGTTTGCTGACGGTGATGATACTAGCGATACGATTTTTTAGTTACTTCCCATAAGTACACTTTTTTTGACATAAAAACGTGCGAATCGTTGCCGGTATTTGACCGAAAGTTTTTGAAATTTCATTTGCACCATTAAAGATGTATATGTCAGTGTGAGTTCCGCAGTTAGCAGTCACACTTTAAAAAACTCAGCGTAATGCTACCCTAAGACTTCTGTTTCGCGATTTATGAGCTTGGAACCAGCAATTCAGATCTGCGTCGCATTTTGAGACGTAATAACTTACATTTAGACGGCGACTTACGTTATCACTGAAGATGATCCAGATTCAAGAAGAAAATTTTGCGAATGCTGCCTAGAAGAGTATAAACAGAATGCACAATTTGCGAGAAAGGCCAAATTAAAGCGCTAAAATTGCATTTGTACTATATAATTTGACTTATAGAGAAATTAAATATAGAGCCGCATGTTATGCACGAACGTGGGTTTACGAAGGGTTAGAGTGCGATGCGGCTTTTTGAGCAAACGATTAACCTTTTTTCTCACAGTACACAAACTGGTGCCAATTATTTCAAATTCACTGCAAGTATCTGTTTTACCGCGCAATAAAGAATGGTGAAAGGGTTTTCAACAAGACGGAGAACCTGTACACTCTAATATAAAAGCATATATTTCTGCTCGCTTCCGAAATTTGACTTTTGTCTTCTCAATGAACTTGATAAGGTCTACATTAGACCATACCAGCGACACTAGATTGATTTAAAAGCCGCAATTGTTCCAGAAGAAGTTTAGGAATCAATAACCCACCGTTATTGGCATAGCATATGCGGTAAGAGACAAGGTTATTTTTATTTTATGTAGATTTCTTTAAAATTTAATTATTAACTGTGTGTAATTAGTAACTGAAACTGTCATCTTTCAAACTGTGCATACATTTTTTGGGATACCCAATATATATATATATATATATATATATATATATATATATGGCCCAGCTCCGCCATTCGCCATTTACGCAGGCCATCTAGGTGGCAATAAAATAATAAACAATAAGGCAATAAAATAGGCAATAAAACAGTTAAAAGACGCCAGCGAATCGACGCTAAGGAAACCTTTGTGTATTTGTCCCCACATTATGCAATTTTTGTTTTACCATTTGACGTAAACGCTAATTAAGCAGAATTCAGATTGTTTAGAATTTTGACAGGCTGACTTTTTTTTTAAATAAACATGATGTAATTGATATTTTAATCCATCCTAAAACAACGCCTTTCATATTCCTGTCATACCAAATCTATGTATTAGGATATACCATTTTTAAAGGAGAGCGGACCTAAAGAACCCACAACATAGAATATAACGGTTGCTTTCTCATGTTAAACAACTTTATTTCTTATTGTATAGGTAACTTACTTATAGAATGTAATGTCGTATCCACTAATTGTACTATTCTATAAAGGTCTATTTATCCATGTCAATACGAACTACTTATAAAGGTGCATGGATTTTACATCGAATGTGAGTGTTAGAGAGATCGGATTGTTTCAACCGGATAACTGACGAGGCTCACTTAGTAGATATACAACTTGTACTAACTTTCTTCAAGTTGCCCTTTGCATGTATCAATTGACATTTAGTAAAGCCATTCAGCAAGCATGTAACTAGCCGTTAACAATATTAATTATTAAAAATAAATAATTTATTACGTGTTCCTCGCGAAAAAATTATCCAGCCAACATTTAACTACTAAAAGGGATGCTGAATAGGCTACAGTTATATAAGCGCTTGACAGTAAACGCCTCTGAGACACCTTCTCCTGACGTGATATACGTGGTTTTAGCGGCCCATATGCACCTAGAGGCATCAGCGTATCTTGAAAATATAATTCGACAAGAGGAAAAGAACCTTGTTTATCTATGCATTTTCTTCACTTTGAAAAGATATATTGTCCTTTATGATACGCATAGAAGACTGTTGCACTAAGTAAGCCCGCACTTTTCAAAGAAAACTATCATAAAATGACGAATGATGAAACGCCATCTGCTGGTCATCATCGCGATTTTTTACACAGCTTTTTACTTGCACATAAGGCACAAAGAGTGCATTGGACAATAAACTATCGAAATCCGTTTTGGCTCCGATCCCTCCGGTAAACATATAATATTTTTATATTTTTTTAGTTCATACGGTCTTCTATTTTCAGTATGTCATAATGTAACAGTGATCGATCATCTATAACTATATGCAAAAAATGTTGCGCACAAACTACGCGATCAACTACGTCCTCGATTCCGCACTGCTCTGGGCGTTTATGGGCAGGATGTCAACAATTGTAACTACGCTGCCATAGATGCTGCTATTTCAGATGCTCCCAAATGACAAGCTATAAACTATATATATATTTTTTCATTGTGTAGTACGCAATGCTAATCACTGTACAGCTTTCGCCTTGTCGCCAATACAAGACATCTGTGTACCGATCCGATTAGACCCGTTTTATGGAAAATCTATGCCATTGATTAACAGCCAGCCAAGAAGTGCTTCTTCGCTTTGGCCCACCTTTCTACCTTTTTTTTACGTATATTTTACTCATCAAAAAAAAACGTTACATTCGTCGTGTGTTTTTATATCTACCAGGTAATAAGCTAGAATAAACGTAAATTGCTATTGAAAAATACTAGCTGCCACTTACCATATAGTTTTCCATCCCAATTGAAATAAGAATTGATTGGAACACATCGTCTGCTTATATCATATACGTACTTCTTATTCATTTATTTCTACTACACAATATTGAAGGATTGATTTTTAAAGACCAGACAAAAGCTAATAAAAGCGAGCACCATTTTTTCACCGATCAGGCTTACTTCCGGCAAAAGTTATTGTTTGGTACTTTGTAGCATTATTACGTAAAGGCTGCCTATTCTAATTTCATCTATTTTATTTTCAATTATATCCAAAGTTTTTGAAATAGGTTCGCGCTAGAAGCTAGCCAGGGGTTTCGACCATTTCTGATATTTATGCGGACACAAATGCTATACTCGGAATGCATAGCGACTTAACGATTTGGATGGACTCTTCAGGATTCTATAAATATTCACCAAATATTGTATGTGCTTTGTGCACAGCGGAAGTTTTTGCACCGATCTATACTTCGCAAAAAAAACTCAAACATAGAAATGTTTCGTTAACCTTTCGAGACTAGTTAAGATTTATAGAAATGCAGAATATTCTTATGACTATTTTTCATTTTTGAGTATTATTTTAATATATATTAAAGAAAAAATTAGTTTTAAGAAAACAACTATAAGACCCAAAGATAGAAAAACAGCACATCAATAATAATAAAGAAAAACCACTTGAGTTCGTATTATTTCTAGCTTCGCCTTTCTTAAAAAAAAAATATAAATCTGCATGATTCCTTATCACTGTACATTCATCTACGCACTCCGCTTCGATCGAGCTAACTTGTACATTATATATCAATCGCAATAGAGTTGTGGACAACCTTTTAATTTACCTGAACAATATCGTGAGCCTAAAATGCGTCTCAAAACATTTGCTATAGTCTCTCACGTTGACTTCAGGCAAGCTTGCAAGGATGTTATTGGATAATATATGTTGATAATCTTATTGTAGAGTCGTTCATTCGTGCGAAATCCATCGCTTTGTTAGATCGCTATAATGACTGCCGACGAGATTAACGACGAAAGGCTTCTCCCGCATGTGCGGGTTTAACACCGTTTCCCATAATTACCAAGTTATCGAGTTTATTCGAGCCTAGCTCTAGCATAAAACGATAGATATAATCCGGGCATTCGGTAGATCATAGTTCAGTGGCCTGCTCCGTATCCTTCTGCGATGGTCCGTGTCTCCGTTTTAGCTATAATTGGAATTTCGGCCACTACGGCCATGTTTCAAGATGAGACACCTAAAAGCTTCACTAAGCATAGACTAGTGTTCGCACAACTTCCCTCGCTATGGACATTCAATGTTGCCAGATCACTCAACGAAAATGGTCTACTTGAATTATGGCATGATTTGCCCCGTGAAGGGTCGATTCTATTCTCGGTCGCCCCGGAGCATTTTCCTGAGGTTCAATCAACATTCAACAAGTCTAACTGCGTTTTGAAAGTTATTGAGGACGATCTCCAGAAGGTAATTGATGAGGAACGAACCGGGTTGACGTATGCCCTAGGTACGCCTCGGTCTCTTAATCTCCGACAGTTTGAATCATATGACCAAATCGATGCATCGATTAGCCATTACGTCAATGAGGCGGGCTTCCTGGGTCACATCAATCGTTTTGTAACTGGCAAAACCTCTCAAGGACGTGAAATCGTCGGCATCAAGATCTCAAACTCAATAGAAAAAAAGCCTATCATTTTCCTTGAGTGCGGCATCCACGCTCGTGAATGGGCTTCCACATCGAGCTGCCTTTACATAATTGACGAGCTCGTGCGCAACCAGAACACACACAAGGACCTATTAGACAGGTGAGCAGTTCGACGCCTTGTGTAGACAACGATTGTTAAGACTCAATCAAGATTTGAATTAGACGTGCATCTCAGCGAAGTATTCAAACAAGCGACAGCCCCCAGTCGTAGCAGTCAAGATTATGCTGTCTCCTGTTCGAAAGGACTTATTCGATTATGCGTCACTGAGTCGCTTCATTAGCTTGAGCTGCTGCCCTATTTAGTTGGACCAGTTGCTATAGATGGCGTAATGCGAAATCATTTTACAAATGTTAAATACTTATTCTTTTACAGGTTCGAGTTTCATATTATTCCTTCAGTGAATCCTGATGGCTACGAATATACCCGGATCCAGAACAGGCTTTGGCGAAAGAACCGAAACCCAAAGAAGTCAAATTTTTTGTACCGTTGCTTGGGTGTTGATCTTAATCGGAACTTCAAGTCTGGTCCCCACTGCGGTGTTGGCACCGAGAAGAATCCATGCTCAGACATCTACTGCGGCTCAAATGCCTTTTCTGAGCCTGAAACTGCTGCCCTCCGTGATTATCTGACTGGAATTAAGGACGATGTTGAATACTACGTAGCTGTGCATGCGTTCGGCTTAATGTGGATGTTCCCCTACTCTTACACAACAGACCACTGTCCTGATCATGACGATCTAATGAGAAGGTCTAAGATCGCTGTCGATACAATTAAGTAAGCATAAGTTTTGAAAAAGCGTGTAATTCTACGCATGTATTTGTGGGATGGAATCAAATGAGCTGGGCCATCTGTTTATTCGGTAAATATAAGCTAAATGCGATTATACTGGTGGAAGGATCAGATTTTATTATATAAAGCAATCTTTGTCCATGGTCATTAGGAGACGGATCACAGATCAGTGTTGTGTGATTTTGCAAAACATTCATAATAGAATCTTTTCATAGAGTTACTGTATATAGTAGTTGAAATGAAAAACACTGCAGAAAAATAACCGCAGAACTGTAGAAACTAATTTTCTTTTTCATTTTTCATAGGGCTACAACAGGAACACAATACAAATATGGACCCACTGCTGAGACCATTTACGCTGTAACAGGCTCTTCAGTTGATTGGGCTTATATGGAACTGGGCATTAAGAAGTCTTACGTGCTCGAGGTGCAACCTTCGCTTAATGCTGCATTTGGCGGACGAGGGTTCCTCCTACCAGCGGATCAAATCATTGCTGTCGGAAATGAAACCTTTATAGGTCTAAAAGCTATGTGGCTTTCCTAAGTCTTAATAAAACTTGTTTGAAACTCAACATCTGCTCACTTGCTTAGCAGCAGTACCGTTATTAAGCTCTCAAGTTGGCAAGTCACGAAACTGCGACAATGTATTAGATTTTATTGAACCACGTAATCGCCCATTTATTCTTTACTATGCTGTTTGCCATGTAAACGAAGATCAAATAGTAAGTCTAGACTATACATTATAGGCTTTTGATTTGTAGTAACTGATATGAAACTCACACTCGTATCAATGGCAGACGGTTGTGTATCGTTTAATGGACGGTTAATAATTTGCTACACGATTTGGTAGCACCTATCTTCTTTTGTGGTTTCTAACCATGCGTAAAAATATTAAATATTTACTACAGAAAAAAATGTGATTCACACGAACTAATCATATAGTGTCTAATAGGATTCATGCAAGAGCAATCTATTGCGTCAAAATGTCTAACAACGAAAATGTCAGTTATGGTGGCCACCACGATGTATCGTCGTGAGAGTCCTTCAGTGGCATGATACAGGCTTTGTGGCTCCCTCTTTATTTTAGGTCATCCGTTTGATATAATATTCTGTGCTTAGTCCCTTACCAGTACCAGTAATCTAAGACGGGCATAATTTCAAATACAAGCTGGGCCTTTATTCAAGGATAAAGTATCTCAATCTATTACGCATTTGACGTCGCCGTTAGTTACCTATAGTTGGAAAGTCAAATACCTATTCCCAATTTGAAAGCAAAAAAACTAAACTAATTATCAGACGTTGTTTGTTGCTTAGGGGTTTAATAGTGACGGTTTTGCTAAAAACTTAAAAACGACAACAATGCGCGTAGAGAAAGGGAGGAACTAGAAAAGTTGGCTCGTGGTTAGGCAAAATCTACGATAACAGGAAGAAAAAAAATAAGTTTCTAGATGGAGAAAGCCGAACCACATTTTAAGTTCTGTTCAATAATACACGTTTTGGCGCTTCGCTCTTCATATGCAGATGACGGAATCGATATAAAACTATTGTTTCTTACATATATTTGTATAATTAATAGATCAGATGCACTATCAAATAAATATGTTTATTATTTATTCTGCGGTTGACATCATCGGGTATTGCCGTGTTGGTTTGGAGCATCTAATACAATCGTTAACAGACGAGCCGACAATCTTTAACGCATTTTAAGTCGAAGCCGTTTTAGACGCTCGGTTTTGTAGAAATTCTGTTTCGGCCTTAAAAACACTTATTTATGTATCTTTTATTTCGCTTTCAATAATTTATTCACAAAGCGTTTTTTTTTTTATAAATGCGTTCATTATATGTACATCCGCACAGAACCGTTTCGACGCAGCAAAATATTAAACTATGGCAATATAATATACTATAGTGACGTTCGAGCTTTTGCAATTTCCCTTGCTATATCAAATGCTTCTATTCGCAAGCGTTGCTTTATCTTATTCTGGTGTGCCCTATTTCAGCGTGAAAAATAAAGACGTACATGTCATTATATTAACAGTCCAACATCCCTAGCGGTATGTTGGCGGAAGTTCGATTCGGAAGAAAGGTAAAGTTTTGTTGAAACGAGCTATAAGCATAATGTGTAAGGCGTCTTATCAAATCAATGTATCGTTAATGCTTCCATCCGTAGAATCGATGTATTTCTGCACAATGCTAAACTGCCTATATAGTGGTTAGCTTGATATGTATTCGTTAACTCGACCTTTGTCTAAAGACCGCTTGATTGCACGATGACGGTTAAGGTACTGGTAAGGCACTGGATAGGTAAGTGAACATGTTATTTGCACACTGCTCCGAGAAGCATTCATATCTCAATGGCGAAAGGACGAAGGGTTAATTAAAGTTTCCCTTTCCATGTAATGGAGTCAATGCATAGAATCAATTGCACCGATAAAGAATAATGTCTGCTAAAAGGAATATATAAATAAATTGTTAATCTCTAAATAAACGTATATTATTAAGCAAATAGTAAACCGTTATCTCAATTTTTATATCAGACTACAAGCAAGTTTATCCTTCTAGAGATAGACCATTGCAATAGCGTATCTAGAGCTTTTTCAAATAAATAAAATGTTTGTTTGTCCTTTAAGGGCATCAGTGGGTTTTAATGCTCATAGTAAAAAATCGAACTGTCGTACGATAATGAATCCATAGTGTTCTTCTTTATGTTTAAGGCATAATACTCACATGAACTTCAAAAAACTCGTAAAATTTTTAATTTGATTGACATTTTCACCAAACTGTTAATATAAATGTCTGCAAATATGGCCGATTATCAGCCATACAATAGACAACAATACAGCTAATGAACAATGTGGAACTTCAGAGGCACCATTGAACGTGGCAGCATCGAACGTGGCAGCCTGCTCCGATATCTCCGCATACGGATTGGTTCCATCATCAAAATACATCGGGCAGTCGTCATCTGCAAAAACGATTATTTCCACAGTTAATAGTATTTTTTAGCCAATTAGCACGCTGTCTTATTAAAGGCGACATTCGACACATGCCTATAGTTCCATTGAAGAGCCAACCTACAAACAAAGTTAGTCTGCAACTTACGTTCTCTTTCGTATTCAACCATATCCAGGGCAACTTGAGCCCCTTCCCGCGAGCTAATAGATACGACGTCCTGTTTAACGTGACAGAACGCACCGACACTAAGTGACATGAGAATTCGGTTGAGATCAGCACGTTGATACACCCAACAGCGGTACTTAGAGTAGGCGTCCTCTTCTTCATACGTAATGAGGTAGCTTTTGAGGTTCTCTCGCCAAAAGCCAATACATTTGAGCATATGGTCTGGCTCGGAGTAAATATCTACGGGACGGCCGAAATGGTCAACAGACACACAATAGTCGGCATCAACAGCGATGGTCCGTTGATCGCGATCACATACGGAGAAGTCTACAAATAATAAAAATTAAATAGATAATAAAACAATCCGTAGTAAAGCAGAGGTAACTACTGGAGCGAACACACAAATGAAACGTCCAAATACCCTCTAAAATCCTTTGACCTCTAAAATCCTTATTCCGCTAATTGACTTCTAAATAGCTTTTTTATTGCTTATCCCTCAGAAGACATACAAACGGGTCTTCGAAGAATGTTGGAGTTCTAAAGGAAATCATAACCGAGGTACAAAATATCTGTACAACTTACCAGAAATGTTTTCTTTACAGTAGACGTTCGGGCGGGGCATCTGGGTTACTCCGCCCCGAATTCGAGTCTCAAACAGAATATCACCGTGCTGCTGGAATTTGAATTTGCCTGCTACCGGACATTTAATGCTTACCGGATTCTTCATCACCAAGAGATCGTACCTTTACAGAGCGAATGGATAATGTTAACAAATGCATGAACGTATGTTCACTATAAAAAAAAAGAAAATAGATAAAAAGTCCAACGTTTTTATGAGAAAATCACTTGACTTGGGTATAAATTTATTTTTTTATATTCGCTTTTTGTGTAGTCTAGCAGCATGAACATTAAAATGAGGAATAAGCCCGGTTATTTTGAATTTCTCATAATTATAGGTAAACAAATTTTGTGTAGAAGGTCAGTTGGCAATAGAGCTTAAGGTTGAGGCTCAAATAATTTTAAATTTCTTTAATAGAAAAGAAATAGGGAGCGAAAAAAATGCCTACGCGGGCAAAGATATACTAAACAACCGTTGGCAATACAAAAAAATGTGCTAGTGTATACAACAAGGATCAAAATTCTGTCTCGTGACTTAAAAACGCTCACAAAATTTTTCGATTTGCAAAGAAACGTCAATTTAACGCATCTACTATTTGGCTTAAAGTAAAACACGTTAGAAAATTATATAAGCAAGAAGTAAGGCTATCTGGGCCACAAATTATTTTGTATACAAAAGTCAGTCATTCAGCAAAGGTAAAAAATAGGTTATTTTTTTGAGAAAAAAGTATGATATTGGCTAGTAAAACAACGCTGTATAAAAACTTAGTGTCAAGCAAACTAAATTAAGGGTCATGATTTATCTGTCATAGGTCGTTATGAAGTTTTGTTGGGCAGTGTGAAGTTAGGTTTATAATGGTCCAAACAGTTTCCAAAGTCGATTGAACCTGTAGAATTACCGGTGTCATCCATAAGCCTGGTATAACATCCATCATGAATCGTGACTGATAACCGTAAGTGTTTCACATGTATATATGTAAAAAATTGTTAAGTCTTGATCGTGCATTACGGCAAAAGCGTTGTCACAGTTTTTTCCAAAAACCATCATATGAGGCATTTGATCGGTAACGACGGTATGCTGTACAATCAGCTAAATATACGACCCTAGATTAATCTATGAAATTATTTTTCATTAAATACGCTCGCTACACAGTGGTTCAGATAGCCTCGCATCACGCTGGCCCATATATCTTCTAGAGCGACCATGTAATAAAGCTCAATGTTGTGCCTGATATAGAAACAATTGACTTTCAGTTAGTTTTAACATATGCAGCTCTGGATTTAATTAGCCTACATACACGCTGAGCTTATACAAACCTCCAATCCTGCTGAGCTCGGAACATAGTCCACGAACAAACAGTAGAAAAAGTTGGATCTCGAAGTTCTTTGCCTTTGCGATATCGAATCACAGAGTGGTGTCGTGGCACGAAATCGAAACAAACATAGTCACGTTGGCTAAATGATATTAATAAGAGGAACAATAGAAAATTAGGGATAGCTAACGCTAAGCATTATGAATATGTTCTATTGCTATAAGGAACGTGTTCAATGGTGCCATATTGTAGTTCACTTAAAGAAGGATAGTTGACGTTAGTAAAACGTCGTCGCGCACACATAAATTAGTTCTGTATAGATGTATGCATAATTTCAAAAAGAGATCCAGTGATCTCCGCACCAATACGGAGTAACAGTACAAATCGAACAAACAAACAAACCAATGTACAAACTATACGAGGGAAATATTATTGCTGGTCTAACCTCTAACGCTCTAAAAAAACGGGCCGTTTGGCCCTCATGTATTGGCTTGGAACGAAAGAAGAGTATTTCTTTGCAATCTGATAAATAGGCAAACTAAGCAATCTGCTTCTTTGTTTCAAATGAACGCCGATTTTCATTGTACCATTGCACCAAAATAAAGCTTATCTTCTACTAACACTAGCCATCACATTTGAACAGATATACAAGTTTGCTTTCGGAATCGACCTGTTTTAATAGACACACTTCTGTACCAAATACTAAAATACGGTTTTATCATCCTATTCATGGAAGGCTCCATGTGTTCCAATGCTCCTGTGCAGGCATAACAAATGCATCAAGACCTTTGGTATGTATCTATCTATGCGTATTGCTAAATGAAGTTATTCGACTGATTGTTCACGTACATATAAACCATATGAATAGATATGCTAGATTCATACCATCCGTTGATTCCGTGTCTCGCCATCATATATCTATTGTTTCTTTTTTCGACGCAAACGTACACCTGTTCCTTGATGCGGCCTGTATCAGGCTTCCATCGCTCGATAATGTGAGTTCGATTGATAATAACATCCGCATCGAAGTTAGCAGTGTTAATCCATTCGCCAGTAAAGTTTTCCGGTAGCTTACAACGTGGCTCCATAATTTCAGTCTTCACTATAAAAATAAATAACTTTCTTTATTACAAAATCGATAATCATATATAGTTGCAGATCGAGATGTTGAAAAAGAATCAAAGTCTTTCGTTTAACGCAAACCAGACCTCTGGACCTCACACATAGCAAATTGTGACACCCAAAATATTGTAGAATCCCAAATCAGTGGGCTCTAACCTTTATTTTTTTAGTTGTGCATATTTCTTCATAAAGCTGCGTAACATATAGATATTCGCAAATATATGAAACTTAGATAATTTTCTCGAATAACTACGCTAAGTGCACCTTTACGGATAACAATCTGATGATTACGAACCCTGCTCCATGTGGTATCTGGATGGGGCATCCTGAGGATTCTTAAGGACATTACACTCAGGGGTAATAGATGCTCCCAAGAAAGTGTCGTCATCTCTATTAGCCAAAAAACAACGATATTTTTCATCAATACGAGATTCGCGGGAGTTCACTACGGCGAAAAAGTGGTTCTTCCCAATGTACCAATCACCGAGACACTTAAATTGGACTTCTGCAATCGAATACAGAAATAGTGAACGTCACTACAGGCTGCTTTCTTTCGTGTGCTGATTATAAATGGTTTCAACAAATAAAAATACACCTAATCCGTTGTCCGTTTTTATAGCCTTTTTGCGAAATTCATTAGAGAGCGTCTTGCGCTTAGAGGGTCATCCTGTTTGGTTGACCGATCTGCAACGTCGCCATAATGGAGCTCTTTGGGGTCTTGTTATCTGTAAAAAGAAATATTCAGAAATTCTAGACAATAGCATTATTTTCTTTTTAAGAAACATTAACAACAATAGTAATGTCCGTATGATGCTAAGAACCGGACAACCAATGTTTCGCTATCCGTACGTGTGTTTACCTCCTTCCTCGGTGTCTTCCATGCCCTCACACTGCCGATAATTCACTTGGAACTGCTGGTTGTCTATGAAGAACTGACTACCAGGTACTTGGCACGCTGTAATGTTAGCATCTGGATGCTTGCACTCGCCGGAGAATCTGTACGTGTTTTTATACGCAAACTTCCAGACACCTTCAAGGGACGAGCGACAGTTTTTTGGCGTAGGGTTGGTAGCTGAAAAAAAGCGGTGTTATTGGTTAATATACTCAGCAGTGATTTCTGAACCCAGGTCGAAGGTTCGACAAATAAACGAGGATAAAAAATACGTAAGCAACATATTCAAACCAGGTACAGTAAAACTAATTATTACATTAGCACAATACAGTTAATGATTTTTATTATTTGTGGAAGGCTCTAGTAGAATTTAACAGACGTTTTTCGAATTAATTAAAAATTCCCACTTTTTCTTTTCGCTCCGGAGAACTTTGCTGATTACATACCAGTATTCGATCTGCATTTGAAATAGAAGCACATCCTTCACTTTTAAAACGTACATGAACATTCAGGTCCTGAATATCGAGCAAAAATAATTTACATACAAAATAGTGTGATCTGTTCCATATTGACGTCGAGATTCCGGCAAACCGTCTGCACGTCGGGCCTCTCTGTAGGGTTAATATTTACGCATGGTGCTAGGAGAACAAAGACAAATGCGTTGAACCAATCGTTAGATACTACCATTCTAGCAATGAACAACAAGTGTATACAAACAAAACAAAGTGAATACAACTATATGTGATGGAACTCTAACCCGCATATGCTGGGAATCGGTGAAAAACCTGAAATTTTCCAGGAATCCTTATAAATTTCATAGATACAAACATGCCTCATCCATCATTCTTAGTCTGTGTGCACTTCGGTGCAGAGTTTTGCTTTCTCGATATTCTGTAGTGAAAATAAATCTGCTTAAGCTATTATATACCTTTTATGCACAATGATTACTCACTTGAAATTTTGTCGATAACGTTGAGAGTTCGCACGAACATTCGCGTACAGTAGTAACATGGCCTAAACGTGAAAAATCAGAAAAACATTAATATGTTTATGTTAGCTTAGGACGCCTGTGATTTTTAGATTTACTTTTTTTTAATGCTTTATTATTGTAACTAAAGGTACTTGCATTTTTCACCGCTAAAGACCCATGCCAGTTTATAGTTAATGCGGCTAGCTTAACCGTATAGTGAGCTCTGCGAAGGATTGCAATGATTCAACTTTTTCTCACTAATACAGAATGATAGGTTTACTTATTTTTGCAAAAAATAAAAGTTTATCCACGGTGATAAACTCACACATGTGTATCAGTTCTCTGCAGAACGAACGTATAGTTGTCATTGTTGTATATTGTCAAATTGATACACCGCGTGTTGATGACCAGGTTCCGCTGCGTATTCTGATCGTATGCGTTGAATCGGATTGTTTCCTGCAAATTGAAACAGGAATTGTCCATGCAGCGAGAAAAATCATCATCCTTTATTTTTACGCCGATTTTTCAACTCAATTAATCTGACCTGAGCAACACATAATGAAGCTTTAATTTGCTTTCGTAACGTGTGAATTTTTACAAATGACCAGTTGAGAGCATGTAGCCCACATGATGGCTTAGCGGAAAACGTATTTGCTTGTTAATATTAGGGACACATAGGTCAGATCATTCTACACTAGATACAGTAGATAGGTAGTGCTAGATGTAACATTCGAAACTTTAGTTGAAACCGAGTAGTAGTTTTAACGAAACTCATTTTTGTCAAAATTTTTCCACAGTTCATGTCCATCACCTGTTCGATCGTAGTAAAGGTGTCATCCCCACGCTCTCTCGAATACCATTCGCCCTGGACTGTCTGCGAGATATGACATCGTGGGTCGTAATCGTAGTTTCCACCAAGGTAAATCTGAGCACAGCAAAGGCTGAAGATAGCTATAAGGAAAATCCGTAATTAAGCATCAACTTTATGTTTTACAGGCTCTTGAATGGCAAATTAATTTAGAATAAGCAAACGACAACTATTATCACTATTAATATTTTTGTGCCAGAAACGAATGCGAATCGCTAGTACATTTAGGGTGATAGTTTTTTTCGTAAATATCCCAAATTTTTACGTGATAAAAAGTTAAAAACTTTAGTTAAAAAACGCATTTAGAACTACGTCGTCACACGAGAGAATTATGAAGTCAACCGTTGGAAATCTCATCGATAGAAATAGCAAATAGTATTTTTCTGTACATAAATATCAAAGCAGGAATATTCTCTAGTTGTATGTCAAAGAACATGACCCGTTTCAAGCGTATTGTAGCTCAGAGGTTCTTCATTTGAGCATTTTTGGATGATACGGAAAAATTGGGCATTCGTGAATGAATACATAAGAACCGAGAAAAATATGCTTCTGACAAAATATATTTCGCAATAAGGATATATCGTGAAACAGAGTCGTATTGTTCGGCTTCAGTTGTTTATTTAGCTTAAGCAAGATCATCATAAATGCACCAAAAAATTAATTCGAATAGTTAGCGTAAAAGGGACATCGTGGAACCGACAGCTAGCCCCTTGATAATAAGGTTTTCTCTCGCCGGCTAATTATTTCAGAAATAACCGCCGTAACTCACTAAGCAACCTAAAAAATACTGCATGTATTTATACAGTGTTCGTGAAGACAACTCGCATCGCATTATGGTCTAGAGCTGTAGACTAAGTTTTTTCATTTCAATAATTGCGACCACTACGCGAATGCTAGCGAAACTTCATATGTACATCGTACACTCTCCACGTATTGTCCACGTATTGTCAAGGTGTGATACCTTGACATCTTTGGTATACCTTCGCGGGAAGCCGTTTGACGTATGCGTTTTACCCAGTTAGTCTGATATTTTAGGCATATATCACTAACAAAGATTTCTATACTATCTAATTTAACTCATTTTGTCCCTCCACTTCTACCTGAAAGCACAGCGGCCAAATGAACTGCATTGAATTCCATCGTACTCGACGACTCCGCTCTCCCGTCGTATGTCAGTACTCTCAAAAGATGCACCCCATTTCGAACGTATCCGTAAATCGATCACTGTTTCTAGCACGAATCTTCAACAACCTTCTTGTACTCGCTAAACGACCCGGATGATTTCAAGCTTCTGCATAAAAGCAGCATAAGGCAATACAACTAAACCATCATTATCCGAACGGTTGGGGGCGTACGAGAAAAGCTCTGATGACAACGATAGCTGCCACACGATAGCAGACCCCACCGACATCAAACGAACCGTTGACGCTGTTACGTTGGCCCCAGCGCCTCGAATCGAATACGAGTGGCGTCGTTACCCTGGCGACGGCGATCCACGCTTCTTATATGCTACCCGAGAAAAGAATGATTATCTATACAATTGTGATTGTATAGCCATAAGAACAGTAAAAAGTAAATAAGGTAATTATACCTACACAGCTGTCAGTCGTAAAGATGCAAGAGTGTGAGAGAGAGCAATCGGAGCTTCGATGGTCTGCGGTATCCCTACAGGATACGATTTTCGTCCGGTCGAATTCGCGCTGCTCATGAGATCCGTTGGTCATGGGTAGCCAAGTGCGCGCTCTTCGATCAGAAGCAAAAATCACCGTCGCATTTATATTAGAAAGCCGGTGCGATAGGCTGGCATACGGCTATAGGATCAGGTATATTATCCAATACTTTTATAACTGGTAAGAGGCTGAAGTGAGCGCTCTACACAACGATAAAAGAAGTTGTGTTTCATTTATGAGGATGTTTCCGTTTTCGGTAGAGCTGTATATTTGCCTAATGGTAACTTGGTGATTACTAGAAGATCAACTTAAACTTAGCACAAAAATAATTTCTACTAACTGGTCAGGATTTTATAATCGTTTGTCGGGCATTGCCACTGCAGATATTTTGTTCTTTTTTGTACAGAAATTAGAGAAAAGCTTAATTTACAGCCGTAACACCACTCACTATCAGTCTTTAGTCTAGTGAAAACCTCAAAATAATCGTAGTATACCGAATACCAACTTTACTGTCGGTCTGTTAAACGCGCGGCCAGCTCTACCGTACTACGTACGATGCCATGCGTTTACTCGATGTTAACAAATGAATAACCAATGTTTAGGAAGTGTCAAATCTATGTCGAAGTTTCATCGCTATTTCATGAACGTTTCTCAAGTTTAATTATTCCATTATTCTATGTAATTCTCCTTCTTCTATATAATATAGAAATAAACCGTTTGATGAGACTCAGTCAATAGGTTTGTTACATTTAAAAAGTCAATGAATGCTTGTTGTTCGGGACTCTGTACCGCTTTCTTACAGAGAAATAGACCTCTTATCAAAAACCGCGAGTTCTTTACGAAGCGGATTGGGTATTAGCAGTTCGGTGTCCGTAATGTACACAGACGTTCGTAGCATCGATCTTGGGTACAAATGCATTTTGTTGCTGTTTTGGCTTTTGCTATATCTCAAGTGGGCGGCACGTCAACTTGAAGACCCAGTCACCTGACAGAGGCGTTCTTTAGACGACTGAATAAAGAACCTATCGTTTAGCTGCTAGTCGCCAGGTCGAACTGATACGCATCTGAAAAATGTCAGAAACCCAACTTCTTTTGTACTTTGTTTCATTATGCTTTCGTTATGATTAGCGCCGTAACATAATTCTATCGGACAGCGGGATGAATGATTATTATTTATAATCAGTTTTTTTCACTAATGTTCGAGTAAAGGTAACGTCATAGGTTTCGTCTTAAACTAAGTACGCTATAACTAACGGTTGGCATCATAAAATTGTATGGAAGCAGAGATGAACAATTGCTTTCACGTTCGTCAAGTTGCTGGGCAGCGATCTATCGTTTCAATAAATTTGTATGCTAACCATGAATTGAAACTAATTATAAACTGCTTTTGTACAAAGCAGTCGGGCCTAACGTCGGCATTTCCCTAATACAATACAAGCAGTCCGATTGATTACGAGGATGTCGACCAAACAAATCTATTGCAAAAGATGTGACAGTCTGCGAATTGTACAACTAACGAAAATCAATCAAATCTAACTCTAGCTATTGGATTCTACGACTCTCATTGGGTCAGATGCTATCAGCTGATACAAGCACTCTATTAGTTGATATTCCTGAGGACATTTGCATAATAAACTCGTATTTATTTTTACAGCAGACTGGACGAGAAGGCTTCAGCGGTGAAGTTCGCGGTCGAACTGAAACTACAATCGAAGTGGTAATGCGGAGTACACCAAAATAACGAAAAACAGAAGATACCAAGTGATCAGACAAGATCTCGGTAAATATCGGTTGTGGTCGAAATTGGTCCAAAAAACGTGGAACTTAACCTCGACGTAAACAACGTCACCATGGACGAAAGTACTGAACATTCGAAAACTGCCAAAGGCCGCGTTGAGTTGCAAAACCAATTTACTTTACTCAACAACATACACAAACAAAGAAGCAAACGATTTATAAGGATGCCTCGTATCTAGCACATTTGATACCCGTGTCAACTGGTGATATTTGCTGAGTTTTCGGCTGCCTATATGAACTCAATATAAATTAAAAAGAAACTATAGAGAACTTGTATTACATGCCATTTTTTTTTGATCCATTATTGATGTTCTAGGGCCGCCTTGGTCAATTTGATTCGTGAATGAAAGTATCAGACATATGCGGGAAGTGATACCCCAGAAATATAAACGCGTGGGCTGCCCAAGACAAAAAAAACGCTTTCTCTGAATTGGAAATATCATATCTGCTGTGCACTTTTTTTCCTGTCAAGAATATAAAAATTTCCAGGTGAGCATGTTACAGAACGAACTCGTGTGGCACGTGAGGCGAGCCGTACAAACTGTATTGCATAGTCGTAGAGGAATCACAGAGGGGTTTAGATATGAAGACAAGCCTCTTCCGGATGTCTCCGCGCAGCGACGTCAAAAAGAAGCCAGCCTTAAGATGACGCTGGTCTGTGAAAAAAACACAATTTGACCTCTTCGAGAAGAAAGTAGTAAATTTCGTTCTGCGCGGACAAATCACTCAGATGAAGACCGACACGGCCATTTTAACTAATAGCGAAGAAATGACACTGGAATTAAAGATCGCTGAAATGTATAAAAAGCTGCAACTTTGTGCTGACGAGGTTTATATGAACTTTGGTGCTGGACGAAAGTGACCTGAAAAACGAAGTTTTGAGAAGCATACCGCAGCAAACATCAAATAGTGCTGGAACTTAAAGGGAGGCACATCATAAAAATCTAAAACACCTTCCTTAAATATGTCAGGCGGGGGAACATGCTCCTTAAAACCTGCCACCAGCAGTCACTCAAATGGGCACAGAAACCGTCCTAGCCGAGATCCAGAAGCTAATAAAAAAGCTTCCGGCTGATACCGGAAGGCTACGAAGAATAAAGGACATGAGAGTTTAGACACGTGCTTGATCACCCACAAGTAAATATATGATGATATTCGAGAACAGCTGGAAATTCGTCAGCGGTTTAAACGTCGACAGCAAAATATTGACCTATACATTATTTGGGCCTAAATGACCTAGGATATTGATAGACCTCTCTTCTCTGCTGAGCAGGATTTACTCTAAATCGAAAGCTGACGATTCACTGTCCGCATCAATGCAAGCATGACAAATGCCCGTTTGACGTTAAAGAAAATTCCTCAAGGACGAACTTCTACAGCTAAACCCCTAAATGAATGCATCAGCAAGCGTCTATGGAAAATATGAGTGGAAATAGTGATGACTCTATAAATACAGGGCTATCGAAATCTCTTAGAGTAATGACGGTTTATTTCGGGTAGATCTTTTATAGGAAGTTGGCTTACTATGTCTCTTTTAGTTCAAGCGTGAACTGCCACATGAAAATAACTGCTAGCTGAAGTGTTTTGTGGAGTTCGCTTCTGTTAACTATACGATACTAATCGCTGATTGAGGTTTTACATAATTTAGCTCCAAAAGTCGACCACACCTAAAAATTTTACTGTATATTTTTTGTAAAAAAAATACCCTAAAAATAATAATGGTCCAAATCGATACTGAGGATCCAATACCCAACAGACGGGTTATGTGAGCCTTTTAAAATGATAACAAAAGTTGCCTACACTTAAACATGTGTGTTGTCGCTATAGACGTGTGCTTATATCTTTACTCAATCAAGAGAGAGTCTTCCACCGTAAATATATGGAATAATTAACCACTCTCTTTACTTTCAAACGAATCTATTTCATGGAAGCTAGAACCTCGATGTGCACTAGGTGAGTTGCTGAGTAAACATTTCAACTTTTCGAGTCATTTTATGCACTCTCCTTTTTGAATTGTTTGAATGCAAGACATAATCTAAGTTGGCCTCAAGGGCCAACTCTAAAACATTCATCTCAATCACCATATGTTCGATTTGTATGCATTCTCACTTTATATGTAGATGCATTTTTGGAGGAACACATTCTAGTAGACCAATCGAGATAGATTAAAAAAATGAGTGTTTACTTAAAATGATGTGTGTTAGCCTGTGACAGTATTTGATTATTGATAAAATAATATAGTAATGACTAGTTAAATATATAGCGAAACTAGTTACACGGTAATATTCCTAGAAAACTGCACTACTCATCGAGATAATGATCTATCCGAATATGCGATACTTTATGTAGCCGCCATGTTTCTAAAGAGCGTAGCGCCATTGAACGTCAATGGAGGGGAAGAATATAATAAAAACGTGCTTGCAGTTTTCGGCCTTCTTTAACGTAAAAACTCCACTTTAGTTTCTGGTTGCTATGGAAGCCTACATATTCTTTCGTATCGGCGTTCAGTTGTGATTGTGTCAGGAGAAAGTTGCAAATGCAATTACATCAAAACAAAGGCCACCATTTTTTCATAAACGGCTATAAGGATGCATAAAAGTACGCCTAAAAGGAATACAAACAAAGATGCACGTTATAGTTCAACAAGTAGACGTGAAGGACTAATCTAAAAATCATGTATGTTAGCGTATCCGGGGCACTGTTCAAGTACCTGATACAACAACATACATTAGCAACAGTAGCTACACTTATGGTAAATTGCAAGAAAGCGACCCTAATGAATTGCCCCAATGAAATTATAAATTACATTTTGACGATATACAAGCTTGTACGATGTTGGTGCTTAATAAGTACTAGACGATGCTGCGACAGCGCTAGTTTTAAAGGGTGATAAGAAAAGTGCAGGAAAATAACCAGAAGTGCTGTTGTCCATTTTACATCTAGTTATAAAAATTTATGTAGCGTTCCGATCCAGTTTATCGAGGGAGGATCTTTAGTTACTACTAACAGTGTACTAGAAACAACTTTCTTTGTATAGACCGCCATGTAAACGGCCTTGTTGTGTAGATACATGTTCGTTTCTTATTTTGCGCCCGGTTATTAAGCCGTTAGAATTTACTTGAGTCGAATGACTTTCAGCATGAAACGAATTGTGTCTATGCCCGAATTCAAACCTGGACCACGACGTGTTCCTAAGTTTAGCGGGCACGAGTGTTACCTACTACGCTATCACGCGGACATGTGGACATATATATATGTCCACATGTCCACGTGTATAAATTAATTTACAAATGCAAAAGAAAGCGCAATAGTGTTGTTTAAAATGGTTCAAAATCTTTTGTAAACCCTACCTCAAAGCACAGCAGTTTAAATCGTCATAGATTAGTCTGCGCACTGCTCGTGGATATGATAAAAAATCGCGCTTTTGTTAACAAAAGAGTGCACAGAAGACAAAAGTAGACTCTTCTTATCTCGACAACTGTTAAAAATTATATGTCATATAGTTCTGCTTGTAAGATTTCTATTTGCAAGACAGTTCGGCAGTATTCGGTGAAAAAACTAAGTTCAGATTTTTGTGAACTTTCTCGGCATCTTTGATTATCTGCAAGCGACTAATTATTCCAATTAACCCGACACATGCGGGCCACCTGTTCGGCAAACTAACTTAAAATCATATTGAATTATAACTTACATTGCACAAAGCATAATTTTCAAATTTGAACAAAATTAGGATAGACAAATTAATAATAGTACGTTTGCCATTGATATATATATGTTGAGTTTCCTTGATATTTTAAAAGGAATAGTGTTCCAGGGTAATGATAATAATAATCCAGAACAATGTTCTATAAATCAGGCGCAATCGATTACGTGTCCATCTCCAACTTGTTGGCAGAAAGTATATACTGGCTTAATACGTAATAAAAAAATGACGACTGAATGGTTGGAGCAACAAATAAATAATGGATAAATGTACACATTACTATTACACGATTGCATTAAATCTGAATGAACTTATGTTGCTTTTGTGACATAAGGTGATCAACTTCAGCAAATTTATTGGGCTAATAAGCCAATAAGCCAGCTGAGTACTCTAAGGAACAGTCTTCCTTAATGCGTTAAAGGCTATTAATTAGGTAGGCTGCACTTCACTTCAAGGGCTTTCGTCTGCTATCCTAGGACTTTCACCTATTAAACTCTGGATATTGTATTCTTAGGCCTTAATTCATAATTCATCCTGATATTACTTTAAATTCGAGGGATAGCTGAACAATTAAAGAAGCTTTGTTCGAGTCCACCTTCCCGATACTACGAAAAATCAGAGTTTTACAAACTGTTTTAGTTATAGCTTAAAATGCATTCATTCATCAAGTTCTTACGTGGTTCAATGTGTCGTCTGAAAATCAACTGGAGTTTCTGCTCGCTGAATAATCTCATGTCTCACCAGTTTACGCTTAGTACTAAATCATCGTTTGCTAGATGAGTTCAAAATGCGTATGGCAAATTTCCTTTTTTGTCTTCCTTTAGCTTGTGGAAGCTCTTTCTACCAATGTTTTTGTTTTGGCGGGCTTTGACGGTCTGCTTCTGTACGTCATCACGCGAAAAGAAGAATTGCCGGTCATCATTCAGTACAGTATTTTGGTTGTGCAGAAACTTGTTTTGAATTCGCAGGTTTCCCCCTACCATTCTACCAGCTTTCCTCAAGTAAAGTGTTTCAGTAGCTTAAGTTTAATTTCACTTTTTGCCTCTGGCATTAGACATGGCTTCGGAACGGTACAGTTTTTCACTGACGACGTTTAGTCCCTCGGGAAAGCTCGTTCAGATTGAGTACGCACTCAATGCTGTGACAGCTGGAGCTGCTTCTGTGGGTATTAAAGCGACAAATGGAGTGGTTTTGGCTACAGAAAAGAAACAGAAGAGCATTCTTAATGTGGAGCACTCGACATTCAAGGTATAGAACCACGTGTACTTTAGACATGTGACCATTATCGAAAAAGCCGAATAGGACATTCGAGCAGTGAATTCGAAATGTGTGCAAACTTCGCCACTTAGGTTTCTAATATTTACATACCCTTTTTACTTCGTACTTTTTTTCTATCAATTACACCGTTCTACTTCATCCATTGTGTAACTAAAATTCGGTCTAGTGTTCCCAAAATATGCGAACAATTACATCCAATAGTTTTCATTGTGGTTTGAGCCATTTTTTGTATATAATGAACTTGCATTATTACGGATTCTGTGAGTTTCACGGCACAAAGCTATTCTTAGATTTGAATATGAAAGCAATCTGAACGAAAGGGTATCCACAGATGTATGTTTATATATGGTGCTGGCTTGAACAGTCGAACCTTTGATTGAAAGATACCAGCGGTCGCTGGTTTTCCATTTTACATAATCTGTATTACATTTTATATCTACTCAATATATATACAAGTTAGATTTTGTATCTATATCTAAATAAGCATCGCGAATTATAATAAGTTAGCTAATTGGCTAAACATTTTTTTGATAGTTCAATAGCAATTACATCAAGCACACAACTAAACACTGTTACTGGTCATAATTGATTGAGGGCTTTGTCGTCGTGTTTAAATATATAATTTTATAATAACTCATGGTCGTTTTTATTAGTATTTTTTTCTTTTCATGGTACTTTTTGCCAATGAGAAGACCGTATTTTGCCGTCTTTCAAGAACAAAAATCAACGATCTAATAATTAGATTGCTAAATATTAAATATAACGATTAATTTCTTGTAGGTGGAGATGATCGCGGATCATATTGGGATGGTATATTCGGGTTTGGGCCCAGATTACCGTTTGCTTGTGAAACGGGCCCGAAAAATTGCCCAACAGTACTGGTTAACATATGGAGAGTCTATTCCTACCACGCAACTCGTCCAAAAGGTGATAATAATTATACCAGTGTTCGATTATTCTTCCTTAGGTGTCGAGTTATGGTGTACGTCTCAAATCACACTCCGTATGCTGGGCAGCATGCAATATAGGTTTACTTCATTTTGGGATTTTCTCGTCGAGCCCTCCCATTGCAAACGTTTTAATCTATTTCATGAATAACTGAGCTTCTGCTATAAAAAAATAAACAAATGAATGTATTTTACTCTAGACTACTTGTATGGGTTTTTTTTCTTAAATACATTCGAAGCAGAACGTTTCGAACATTACACAGATAAATTACACAAAAGAAACAGTACACTGTACAACAATGTGAAGCTACTAAACCATAAACCACCACTTGGGCTATTCCAAACTGATAGTAGAATAGGATAGAAATAGATAAAAAAAGGCTTCGATCTTTCTTTCTTCTTAATCGGTATAACAGTAATTATAATTAACGTGTTTTAATTTGTTGGTGCTAGGTGGCACACATTATGCAAGAGTATACGCAGTCTGGCGGGGTGAGGCCGTTCGGCGTCTCGTTACTTATCTGCGGGTGGGACAACGATCGGGGATATCTATTCCAGTGTGATCCTAGCGGAGCGTACTTTGCCTGGAAGGCGACAGCGTTAGGAAAAAATAACGTCAACGGAAAGACATTTCTAGAGAAAAGGTATGTCATTAGATAAACAAAATTGGTACTTTTTTTGTAAAAATCCTTGTCAAAAAATACCTGAGCGTTTTCTGGCTATCGTTCATGACTGTATTTATGAGACGGACTGTTAAGGAGAAGAGGATTACGGACTATTATAGACTATCTAATGAATTATTGTAGACAACACAGTCATCGGCAAACCCACTCTCAATGCCAATGTGTTAAAATGTATGTAGATGCCATTATTCGAAAAAGCAGTGGCGCAATATCAAAATAACTTAAGCATATAGATTTAGGAATTGAAGTGAGTATGGTTTGTAGGAAGTGAAAAAACGCTATAGATCTCAATTGAAACAACAATTGAAAAAAGCATTTTTTTCGCATTATTTCGAAAAATACTTTAGTCCGATTTCGAAGTCAAGTCTTCACGTCGTCTGCTCATTTATACCAGGTGGGATCCAAGCTAGGATACTTACTATTGAGAGACTCACATTATAATCCTTTTCTTGTTGAACGGGCATGTAGCTGATAGTGTGTAAAAGGGCGAGGCAAAATGAATTGATATTATCTAGATGTGTCTGTGCCCGTAGTAATTCGCAAACTTTCCTGACAAGTCTTTGTTTTTTACTAATAGGTACAGCGAAACCGTTGAACTTGAGGATGCCGTACACACCGCAATTCTGACGCTAAAAGAAGGATTTGAAGGACAAATGACTCAGGACAACATTGAAATAGGAATATGTGACGCTAACGGTTTCCGCCGCTTATCACCATCCCAGGTCAATGACTATCTTGCCAATATCCAGTGATTTCGCTTTCCTGCCTCATCGATCGTGGAGTCGCCGGTCGGAACTAACGGACGTTACCTCGTTCCTTCGGGGCCTTTTCGTCTTGCAGTGTTGACGGCCTGAAGCTGGCAGGTGCCGGCCCTTTTTCTAGAGAGGTCGTCTTCGATGTGTATTCTTGGAGTTTTCCGAGATAAGTAACCGACGCAAAGCGTGAGATGGCGAAGTTGGTATGATTCTCGAAATTGCGGTTATTACTGTTTCAATAAAAGTGCAGCAGACCAGCATATTTTGTTTATCACGGATTTCGTCAGGTGTTGTTACTTAGGTAACTTTTAGTTAAGAGTGCTTAGGCAGCATTCAGTCGGTGTATGTATAATAGTTTATATGAGATTTGACTTTATTATGATATGAGACTTTTTGTATTACACCTCAAAAGATGTTCCAGGCCGAAAATCGGAAATTTCCGAAAATTCGTGATCAGTGTTCCTACGCAGCCAGTTCGACACGCTCTGTTAATGTGAGGTCCTGAAGAGGCCGGCTATCAAGTTAACGTAAGTGTTAAAACTACTTGTGATAGCGGCAAATATTGCCGCCCAAAAACTTAACAGGTTTCGATAGAATATTTTTGTGGTAAAGCTTACAGATAGCTGGGAATGCCATTTAAGATTTTGTCTTTCCCAACTTACCTGGGAAAAAAAATCACATGCATATATATACACACTTACACCAGAAAGCATGTGCGATTATGCTGTTTTACTGTATTGCGTAAAGTGTGCGGTTTTCAATTGAAAGAAGACTTGAATCTGTGTTCCCTGACATTTTTAGCCATAATTACCTACAGATTAATAGCTTAACGCTGATAAACTGCTGATACTTGCAGCAGTTATGATGAGACCTTAGATGATGGGTAGCGGTCGGTCACAAGCAAACGCAATATTTTATGATGTGTATCTATATTTAATGATGATTGAGTATTTTTCAGTCGCTTCAGTAAATTAAAGGATATATAATAGTCTAATAAGGGTGGTCGATTTTCCGCATCTATGGACCCAAAAACCATATCGAGAGTTAACAAAGTCTGTTGACTAGTTATCAACATAAGCTTGGGCAGGATCCAGTCGCTTAGGTCAATGGGTTTGTGCGGGGGCTGATATTGGCTTTGTGCGATCCAATATGGGGTCTTTCACAGACTGGACGTAGGCAAGGCTCTCAATTTCCATGTCATGTGATATTTCCGTTGCTAAGCAAGCTCATTTTTCCTTAATGGGCGGTTCACAACAACAATACCTATGCCAGCCATGTACACCCTTCGGGCTGGTCTTACCCACTATAAACAGATACGAATCTTTTTCTTAGGAGCTCATATCCGTTAAATCATGACAAATATCTATATATACAAAATTACGATTTGACACAATTCAAGTAGCAGTCACCATTTGACTTTCGTGGTAGCGAATAGTTATACATATATCATACCTCTGTCTTACATAACCGCCTGTGTTGTCTCAACTAATGGTACCATTATCTTTTTAAGTTAAAAAAGTCACGAGGGCTCCATCATACACGACCAACTCTACCTACGCCTGGCAAATGAAAGGATTTTAAGGTTTTCAATATTCTGATTATTATTGGTTTTATACTTGTATATGGGGTTTTAAGGTGTTTCATTGGTCTTTTTTATTGGACTAAAGAGGTGACTAGAAGTATGATGATTAGTATTGGTGCCTTAGCTCATGGGAACATACATTTTGATTCAAATCAGCTTGTATGTGTTGCTCAATAGAATAAAATAAATAGTAAACTTTTTTCAAATATGTTTCAAATACGTAGAAGTAGGTTACCGCGAATTATGCGTGTCTCATATTTTTCAAGCATTCGTTTCGTCCGCTTTACTTTATGCTTATGATCATATGATGAGCATATTCTTCCTTGCCTAATGTGTTTTATTTGAAACACAAGTATTGGTTCTTCTGAGTGAAATATGACTAAAAGTATAGACTGGATAGAAACTTTTGTTAAACAGGAAGACCAATAGTAAGCCCATTTTGTTAGGCTTTAGGATTAGCATGCTAATTATCTAACGGTAGTACCGCAAAAAGTACAAAGACGTAAACATTTGAATAAATGAGGTTTCTAAAATAATTCACATCACCTTAGCGGTTAATGATTGTGTTGGTGTTAGAGACGCTATAAAAACTCAATTGTATTTGGATATCCATCGCCCACCGCATATTCTTTGTTCTTTTCTCGAATCGCGAGACATCAATGAAAGATTCGGCGCGCACTAGGGTACTGGAACTAATTATATATTGACTAATATTGCTTGTACAATTTTACCGCACTCTCAGCACTTTTTAAGAACTTCAAAGTTGACTATTCTTTTCGACTCGTCTCCCATGATCTATTTGTTCTGAACAAAGTTCACAAAACGCCATAGTTAAACGAACTAACCCGTCGTCATCTGTGCTATAAATTACGTAACCTAAAAGCGTACTTAGAAAATTTAAATTTCAAAAATAAATTCGATTTTATTTAAGATATTTACAGTAGGTTAACCTCCATCGTTAAGTGGAACCAGTTTAGGTATGTTTAAGCCGGTGTAAATGTAGCATAAATTATTAATAAGCCATTGCAAAAAGACGAAACTGCCATAAATTGCAAAGCGAAGAAATCGCTTAATGGTAACAAACTAACTAATTCAGTTTACCAGCCCACAAGTTCAAGGAACGCTTTGACCGGACATAAAAAAAATCGCCTATTGCATAGCTTAAAAGGATAATAATTATTTAGAAACGACGCATTGGGTTGATATATTAGGTGCTTGTATGAAAAGGAGAAATATATTAAAAGAAACACATTTTGGATGACACGGACACGAGCACATGTTTTACATAAGGACCCATTCCTATTGTACTCGGTGAAAATGACCGATCATTTAAAAAGTTACAGTTTCTTAAAATTTTAGATGGCGTTTCAATGGTGGTGTAATAACGTTTAAATGTAGAATTATTCACACAAAACTTTGCAAAGAGTGAATTGGCCAGTAGTGGTACCTATAGTGTTGTAATGGGCTGCAGCGAAGTAACTTTGGTACAGCTTTTGTTATATATATATATATATATACGTATATATATATTTTTTTTTTCGGTAAACCTGCTCTCGCTAAATTTCTTTTCAAGGGTGTATATTGGTCTCGAATTTCTAGTTCTAATTTCTCTATTTAACCTCGAACTTATTCTTATGTTTTGGGTTGCCTCAGCTTAACAGCGAAGAACAGTTTCAAGAAATCTGATTAAAGAAATTATTATTTATTGTAATAAGAAGACCCTTGAATGCTGGCTTATATTTACCTCTAAATCAGGGTATTAAATACCAGCTTATATAAAACTATAGTAAGTCATAATTAACGAGTTGTTGTCATATAATACTCACAATGAGTTTCTCAAATTAGTCAACGAGGTTTTATGATAGGTACCTCTTGGTAACTCTAGGCAAAATTAAAAAAAAAAACATGGATCTTGGTAAAATCGCGGTAACTGAAAAAAAATGGCTCAATACAACATTTAAAACTCTAGATATGGGTTGCTTTCGGGTAACAATAGGGACTTTCATAAATCAGTAAGACCCACAAAACGCTGCTTTAGCTCGGTCTTAAAATAGAATACCATACGTCGCAGTCGTTAAACGACTACAGTTTTCTTTTAGTGAAGCGCTATATGCGTGCACCACTAGGCTGTATAAAATTAACAATATATATATACATATATATATACATATACTGTATGGCCTGAAAGCTGAAAGACTGGGGTTGCATTTAAATACGAACGTGTTGAGGTAGTCCGACAGAAACTTACAGCTCAATTGTGAGGTAATCGATATATAATATTTAATATTCACATGTGCTTAAGTTATCAATTAATGACCCTACCACAATATTTGGAATCTTGCAATAAATTGTGCGAGAGTGAACTTAATTAAAAAAAAAAACAATTTTTAAGTTGCTATCAATAAAAACTAGTATAAGTAAAATTTTCTGAGAATCAATGCGAAGCACATGCGATATATTTTACATTATAAGATTAGTGCAAGAGAATATTCTCTTTAATGATGTTTTTCTCCATAAAACTGCGTTTGATTTAAACTTAAACATTTGCATTGATTAAACGATTAAAGTTCTTTACTATACATCGTGCTACAACGCAAATACATAAATATTGCATTACCGAACCATGGGTGTGTAGAACACATGTTTTGGTATTACATCTGTATTTATTTAACGTCCGATAATATCAGCAGTAATTTTTTTATAGCGTGACATTAATTAGAGCTAATAACCGCTGTGTTTTCTGTACATTGCATCGTTTATAAAATGGGTTTTAGCGGAAAATAGCCGTGTGCGCGGGCCTGTTTTGCCATTACCTAATTTATCTAATTCTGAGCTGATTCCTTTACCTAGACTAATAAGAATTATAAGTCGAATACATATTAGTAGTCTTCCCATCGCAATTACCCTGCGTCAGTTCACCGATCATCCTTTTGCAGTTACTCTATCAGCCTCGTCAAGGGACTGAGCTAACTTTAGATTTGTCTCGCTAGTGGTATGTTAGCTTTTAGTACACGTCTATTATTCGATTACAGCGCTTTTTCTGTGCTAACTTATTTGATCTGTTTCCGGGACGCACGTAAATAGGATCGGCCAAGCCTTTAAAAAACGTGTGCAAATCGAATAGCCTTCGAGTGATCTTTGGTAGAGTTTGTAGAGTCGACTCTCCTATGGATTTTGTTTCTGAAATGGCACCAAAACTCGAACATTTTTTGAGATAATTTATTTATAAGAAATATTCGTACATACTCTAGCGAATGAAGATTGGCTGTGTTGTCGGAACCTCACCTAGGGGCAAGGATTTTTATAATTTCTTTTTTTTTTTTTTATAATAAACAGTTTTACATATTTTATGTGTATACAAACATTTACTTGCGTCGATATTTCCCATGGTGCGTGTATTCTGCCTTCGGGAGGTCACCGTGACTTGAGGGTTTTTTGTCTCTTCTTATTAACGTAAGTAATTGCACTTATTGAGCTAAATGAAAATATAATAAAAATTTAATAATGATTTTATATGTTTTAATCAGTGTATATACTCCATTCCTGAAACGTCACTAAAGCTTAAAAGCTCTTTTTATAATCTTCAGCGTTTTTTTGAATAAGAACTTACGCATTTGTTCTGTCTCAGCTGGCATATTTGTTCTCTTCCTCAAACGTATCCAAAGCTTAAAGATTATTTTTTATTTTTT